TTAGATAGAACAGATTTGTAAAGCAAATTTCCAAGGTTGTTGGACAATAATGCTCTAGTAAATTTAACTGGACCCGAGCTTTCTCAGATGCAAAGCCTGCTGATGCCTCATAAAGAACAGCCGGGAAGGCCGCGTCCACCACAGGCCCAGCACATCAGGGCTCTGTGTCCAGGGATTCAGCCAACAGCCAGCCAGAAAGAATTCTGAAGAAAAACTGTGCCCAAACATGTGCAGACTATTTTTCCTGACAGTCTCCCTGGGCACTACGTACATAGCCCATGCGCTGCATTAGATATTGTACGGGGTCCAGCGATGTCAGAGCACACAGCGAGCTGCATGGGCCCTGTGCTCTCTTACAGAAGGGACCCAAGCAGCCCTGGGTATTGGAATTGGCCGGGGTTCTGGAGGAGCAGCTCTGCATGGTTTCAGTCATTCAGTCACATTTTAACTTGAGTTAAAATAACTGCCAGGGCCCAGTGCTGAGCAGCGCCCGAACAGGAAAGATCTAGAGGATCATCAAAACCGTGAGAATTCAGCAGAAAATTGCCAGCCCTTGAAATCACTCTACCCAGCAACCTTCCGAATTATGTACATTTCAAGTGATGAATGTTATCTCCATCTCTATTTTTAGCTTTCCAATCCTACATTAACACTCGAAGGAAGGAAGAAAGCCTCTGGGCTGCGATGGAATCTATTTATTATGTGTGAACTGCTCACCCGGCACCTCCAGGACAAAAGCTGTATGGTAGAAGGTAACTACGAATACAGGTTTGAATTGGTACTTCTTCTAGTAAAGTACTTAACACTCTATAATTGGAACATTCCTCAAGGTCTGCAAATTAAATCCTTAACACTGAGTCTCTTTTTTTAGGCATGAAGCTGTTGAAAAGGGCTGAAGATATAGGTTTTCCTGGACATCCAGACTTACAACCACCAGCAGAGTAAGTGTGGAGGTGGAGCTTGGTGTTTTATAGAGTGCATCCTGTTTGCGGTCCTGTTTCCAAATGACCTGATGACCTTCTGATATCTGGATGAGTAAGGCAGCTGGAGAGCTCCTTTACCAGGACCCACGTGCCCCCTGCTGAACTTGCCAGGCTCTGACCCAGATAAGCTGCTTTCAGGAGTCAGCAGTGGAAGGGAAGGGTCAAGATTCCATGCAAGGAAAACAGCAGTTAGGAAGTCAACTGAGAAGCAAATGGAGCTGAAGAGGGGTCCTGTCACTCACCAAAGGACTCTAGGACGGGGCTCAGGAAGAGGAGAGGTCCGCCCTGGTCAGTTGGTACCATCACCTTGGGGAGCAACAAAACCACTCATCTCAGCCAGGAAGTAAAACAGAGAGAAAGAGACCAACACTCCCCATCCCCTGAATCACCCCAAGACTCCCCATGGGTCCCCAGCTCCTCAAGCCCTCCCCCAATATAATGCCACCCTAGGCACCGAGCTAAACATAGGGGCCTTGGGGATACCTAAGATTCGAACTACACCAGGGAGTCACACGGATTGGGTCAGAGAAATGAGCACCTGGTGCTAAGGGGCAGCGCTGCTGGTAGGGGAGGGGGTGACCTTCACCCCACAATCGAGGCTGTTTCTGCAGCGGAACCAAGTGGGCTGCACTCAGGAGCACGAGAAGAGCAAAGCACAGGTGTTTCCACGGCTCCCTCCCTGCATCCTGTCCCAGCCACAGCCCACACCCGCCCAGCTGTCCCCGCCCCAGGAGTGCAACACAGATCCCTAAACCCACAAAAGCCCCAGCTCCAGGTTTGTTTTCCAGCCCAGGCTCTGCCAGTGGCCAAGGGCAACATTCACCTCTTTTGGAGCCTCAGTTTCCTCTTTCCTAAAACAAGGATGGTTGTGATGTCAGCCTCACAGGTGCCAAAGTGACATAGGAGGAGGAAGGCACCCTTCAGTGCCATGGAAAGTGAGCTATGATACGAATTCATGAGAAACTGAGCCCCCACCTTCCCAAAATTTCAGTGGTCGGCACTGCCCTTCTGTAGGAGCCTGCCTAAGACCCGAGGATAAGGAGGGTCACTAGAGCCCCTCTGGGGAGGAAGGCACCTGGGGCCTCTGTCCAGGTTGCAAATTTGGGAGGAGACTTTGAGGGCTCCAAGAGCAAGGAGACCAATGTCAGCCTCCCCCTGCCCCACCATCCGATGCTTTTATCTCAAAAAAAAAAAAAAAAAAAAAAAAAAAAAGTAACGCTCTTCCAGCTTCAGTCTCCAGGCAACCATGTTCCACTGAGTCCCGCACTCTGACAGCTCTCTGATGTGTGAGTCATATTTACGGTGTTTGCAGGAGCTTCAAGCAGAGGAACACAGCTCAGAGCCAAGGTGAAAGAGACCAGAGAGGGGGTCTCTTACTCTTCAGTAGTCTGGGGATATTTGTGAACCCCCCTCCCTCCTCTTGGCCTTTTGTAACGGTCTCACTATGCTGCCTAGGCTGGCCTTCACCTTTTGAATCTAAGCAAGCCTCCTGCCTCAGCTTCCTAAGTAGCCAGGTCTATGGATGTGCACCACTGATGTGATTTTGCCATGGACATTTTCTAAGAATAATGTTCCTATGTGCATTAAAAATAAATACATAGCTGAGTGCGGGGCATGCCTGTAATCCTAGTGCTCAGTAGGCTGAAGCAGGAGGATTGCTGTGAGTTTGAGGCCACTCTAGGGTACATATTGAGTTCAGGGCAGCCTGAATTACAGAGCAAGACCCAGTCTCAAAAAGCAAAACAACAACAACAACAAAAGCATAGCATTACAAAGGACAACCCAGAAGCTATGCAAGCCCACTGATTTAGGGGCTTTTAAAGAGGTGTCATCAGATAGGTATGATCAAGTATTAACTCAATGTTATCTGAAGGTGCCACGCTTCTCCCTTGGCAGGATTTGATCTTTGTGGTAACCAGCTCCCACCCCATCCTGAAGAAATCTAAGTTTGCTAACAGTTGCTTCATTAGTACAAAAGATGCTTCTATCACTTATGAAATGCCAAAGGATCTAAGGACTCTGTGCCAGAATCTAGGAATGAAAACCAAGTATGTGATTCTTATTACAGCATAATATCATAGCTTCCATTAATACTAGATTTTACTTATCTGAAAAATGGCTTTATTTTCTCCTATTCATTAAACACTGTTTTCATTTTAAAAAAAAACAATTATAAAGGAAACAAATCAGATCAAATAGCTGTACAATTGATGATTAACACCTTCAATACCAAGACTAAGCAGCACATCTAACAGCTATTAATATGGAGGATGATAGGAGGGGAACTCAAGTTCTCCATGAGGCTACATCTGTACCTGTTATGGCTGTGTTTAGAGGGCCCCCAGAGTCTCATACAGTCATAGGTGAGGCTTTTCAGAGGTGGCTGGACCTGGGGTATGTGCTGCTGGGATCAAGGCTGTGAGGCTGGGACTGATTTGTGGTGCACTGCCAGGGTTAAGGGTTGAGTGTCACCTGCCTAAAGATGGATAGATACCCTGGGTAAAAGATAAGGGAAAGGAAGAGGGTCATTGCTTATCACTTGTTTCTGTTTAATTCCTCACTACTTTGCTGCCTTTTATGCCTGCCATGGACTGTTTCTCCTCTGCAATGTCACCCTGCCTTGGACCCAGCCGATTATGGACTGAAACCTCCACAAACTGTGACTGTCAAGTATTTTGTCTCAGCAATGAGAAAAGTAACTAAGACAATCTTAAGAGTCTACAGATGGTCTGCCAGGCACAGTGGCAAAAGCCTGTATTCCTGACTACTTGGGATGCTGAGACAGGAGGATCACTTAGGAGTTCAAGAGCTCAAGACCAGGCTGAGCAAGATAGAGGCCCTGTCTCAAAAACACCATCAGTCCTTCAGAACAAACACTCAGGATTGCATCTTGTGGGCTGGGGTTCCCTCCCAGCATGACCCAGGACCAATCACTTGGTATTTATGTCAGGGATACTAACAGGGCCTTGGTGGGCCTTCAATGTGAGGGTGTCCTGGTGAGAGGGACACAGAAGGAGGACCCAGACAATTGGGTTTTCAGGGGTGGCAGCCAGATCACTCTGCTGCACTAGGGACACACACTACACAGTGTCCCTCAGAGCCACTAGCTCCCTCGGGGCTGAGGCCTTTTCACCCACCTCACCCCACCTGTCATGGTTTATGTGGGTAGCCCCCAAGCCTCATGCATTTGCATTGTGCATTTGTGATTGGTTCATTGTCTAGCACTTGCATTGATGACATCAGTGCTACACCCACCTAGGAGTAAAGCCAGTATACAATGTAATAGCAAGAAGAAGGTGTGTCACACTCTCTTGCTTACTCTTTGCAGCCGCCATGAACTGCAGCCCCGCCATGCCACCCCGCCTTGGAGCCAACTGAGTATGGGCTGAAACCTTCAAAAACTGTAATAAATAAACCTTTCCTTTCCCAACTTTGGGCAGCAGGTATTTTGTCTCAGCAATGAGTAAAAAGTAACAGACACCACCCCTTCTTGCTGAGCCCATCTCTCAGCCCCACACTCAGAGCCTTCCCCACATCTGGGGCCTGAAGTATTTTCTGCTCATTTCATGTATGTCATTTGTCTCTAAATGCCTCAAGAATAGGAAAGCTTTTTTTCCCCTTTCTTCACTTTGAGCCAGGATCTCACTGTGTGGTTCAGCCTCATCTAGCACTCACTGTGTAGCCTCAAATCTGTGCCAAACTCTCCTGCCTCAGCCTCCCAAGTGCTGAGATTACCCAAGTGCACCACCACACCAGCTTTTTTGTCTTTATAGATACGCGTGTTCGGGGACTCAAACCCAAGGCCCTGTGCATTCTAAGCATGCCCCCCACCACTGAGGCGCAGCCGTCCTCTGCTCCCCTATATTTCACCCTGAGGAAATTCTTATTCCACGAGGTCTCTTGGGGAAAGAGCCTGAGCTGATGGGCAGTGAGGCACTGTCTCCCTACAGGGCTGCTCGGTGACAGGTGTCATGGCATCCTTATTCAACACAGGGTAACCCCAGGGCACACAGTCACCTGGTCAGCGAGTGCCTCTGGCCACTGGCTTGGCTGGGCCACTGCCTGGGAGATTCTGGGTGCACAGTCCAGCCCTTCGTGCTTGTCCCATTGTGCTTAGTGAGAATCCTGGTATCCATCTCGGGTAATGCCTGGTCCTCTACAGGTGTTTGGTTTCCCGGTATTGCAACTGTAGGAAAATAAAATCACACATAGGTCAGACAATTGATGCTGGGTAAGTCTAAGCACCTCAGAGGCTCGGTGCAAATCTGTTCATCAGCACAGACTTTGTTCGTGGCTTGGCATGCACGTGCGAGTAAACAGTGGATCAGCAGATGATAGAGGGTCCATGAGATTCTGATGGAGCTAAAAGGTTCCTGCCACCTGCCAAAGTCTCAGCTGTCACCAAATGACCGGGCAACACATGGCTCACATGTTCATGGCGATGCCAGCATACCTACTGCACAGCCCGTTGTGTCAAGCACAGCGCACACATGATTATTGGTAATAATAAGAAGCAGCTGTGTCCAGGTGTGGTGGCACACCCCTGCAATCCCAGCATTTGAGAGGCTGAGGCAGGAGGATCGTCGAGAGTTCAAGGCCAGCCTGGGCTACATAGTGAGACTCTGCTTGAAAAAAAGCAATAACAAACAAGCAACTGTGTTACTGGCTTATTTCCTATCCTAGACTTTTCTCGTTATTTTTAGAGTACACTACTTCTTACCAAACTGTAACAGCCTGCTGTGGCATGCAGCAGAGCCTCACACACCTGAGTTCACACCATCTCCTGACTTCACAGGAGGCTGTGTCACATGACTGACCTATGTGGCCCAGGTCTGGTAGTTACATTCCAGTCTCCAAATGACAAGAAGGTTGTCTAATACCACGCTTCTCAGAACACATCCGTCATCAAGTGTGCATGACAGTATCACACAACCAAGCAGAGCAGTCTCGGTGTTTGCCAGAGAAACAGAGCCAACAGGGCAGGGGTCTGGGTACCAGTGATGTAGACACAGCTAAGGTAATGTACAGCTATGGACAAGCTAAGTACTGTGGCACAGAGAACCCTAGCACTCTTGGGGGCTGAGGCAGGAGGATCACAAATTCAAACCCTAACCTGGCCAATTTAGCAACTGAGTGCAAGCCTGTCTCAAAATCTAAAAAGTGAATACATTAAAAGGGCAGAGGGTGTTGCTCAGGAGGAAGGCCTTGGGTTAACTCTCCAGTCCCACCAAAAAAAAAGAAAAATAGACACCCAAAGAGATCTGTTCTAAGCAATCAGCTCACACAGCTGTGGAGGCTGAGGCCCAGGGTCTGCAGGTGCAAAGCCGGACACCCAGGAGAGCTGACAGCGCAGTTCAGGCCAGAGCCAGAAGGGCTGGCAGTTTAGTTTAAATCAAAAGGCAGAGAAAAAAGCCCTCCGTGCCCCTGTCCTCAGGCATTCGGTCAGCAGGAATCCTCTGTTCCCTCCTGAGGGCTTTCTGGGCCTTCCACTGACACTCACCCCAGGCTGGCCATGGGCTATGGATGCCAACACCCCTCTCTCTCACAGACACTCAGATTAACCCAGCACAACGGCCTGTGCACCACATGGTATGGCCCAGTCGACACATAAAATTACCCATGGTGCAATGCTGCACTCCAATTCTAGAAAGTACTAAAACAAGCTAAAAAAAAAAAAAAAATTCTGGTACCACAAAATCCAGGAAGGTCTCCATCTAGGTATGGAGAAAACTTACCGAGCGAGATGCTTGGGATTTACGCCTTTTCCAAGGGTGCTGGAAATTCACCATATTGTGCATGTTTTACATGAACATTTGATGTATTTCCCAGGGAGCCGTGCGAGTGGGTGCTTGGCCTGTTAGAAACATCTGCTGAAATGTCTTGAAGATAATACTCCTATAAATTCCTTCCAAGAAACTCATGCATTCTTGGCTGGTCCCCTTGGGCTTCTCAGAATTCCTGGATAGGAAATCAGATCATATGGCTTCTGTCTGGCTTCAGGAACTCAGGCCCGCTGCGGCTGAAGGGTCCCTTCTGGGGACCCTGCTGCCACGCCTGAGCACAGGAGTCCGGCCTCCAGCAGACTGCAGACAAAGGTGATGTCACCCAACAGCCTTGCAGGTGAGATTCCCTCCACTACTGGGACTCTTTTCCTGGTCTGTTTCTAAATGTTGTGTTTTGAGATTTCCAAGAGAAAATAATGTAGACCTGTTCCACATCTGATACAGTGGGGGAGCCGCAGCCCAGAGGTCTTTGGATAATTTTCAACACGTCCTGGCCAAAGGAATTTTTTTTTCCTTTTAATTCTTCCAAGTGCCATCTTTGAGACTCAAATCCAAAGACACCCTGGGAAAGAGAAACTGACCAGCTAGGGTAACTAAGGCAGAGAGCCAAGCTCCAGGATTTGGGCTCCAAATTAAGTTTGGCTGGAATGGAATCATTTAAATTTTTCAAACACAGCCCAGCCTTTCATTTGATGGGATATTGATGTAGGCTTTCCCATGCTGGAAAGAGACTGACCTAGTAGTTTGGGACTCCAGCTCAGCCACCTCCTCGCTAAGTAACCTCTGGGTGTCATCTAACTATTTTTGAGGCTGCTTCCTCCAACTTGTAGGGTGGATTTCGAGTGCAGGAGTGCATGCAACGTGTGTGGAAGCCACCGAGTTCATCAGATGAACATGACACGTTCACCATCACCACGGCCATCGTTAACTTCACTCGACCCTGCGTGAGGTCAGTGTATCTAGCTAAGACAGTCAAGGTGGTTGACCTAAGAGAGAGCATGCATTCCTTTATCCTTCAGGAAATTTATCACTTTACATTCACTAAGAAGCACAAGTCAAATTTCGATAAGATTCAAACCATTAATGGGGCTTTTTTTCAAGACAGTGATTAATACCAACAATGCATTGTAGAAACAGGATTCTTAATAAGAATAATGTTCTATATTTATATAGTTCTAAAAGGTTTGCAAAGGGCTTTCACATATATTATTTTCATCCTTGTAATAACCTTGTGCTAGGTACAGCTTTTATTATTGTCCCTATTTTTTTATTTTATTTGAAAGAGGAAAAAAGTAAAAACCAAAAAAGTTGGTAAACAGACTAATAGGAGAGTAACAATAATTAGCACATTTCATGTTGTTATCTTCATAGTTGTTATTCAGAGCACAAGATATAGATATGAAATATGGTTCCAATATTAGCACAAACCTTTCTTTTCAGTGAACTAAGTGAAACCAACTGTGTAACTATCTTAACTATTCTGTATGTGTGTGTAAAAAAACTATATATATATTCTTTTCCTTTTCCCTTCCTTCCTGTCCCCCCCCCATCACAGTTTCTCTTTTCTTTTGAATAGTTTCTTTCCTATTCATAATACCTAGTGTACAATTTGGATCTTATTTACTAGCTCAGTTTCTCACACTAGTGAAACAATATGATATTTATACATATGGGTCTGATTTATTTCACTTATGAGTATGGCCTCAAATTGTATCCATTTACCTATAAAAGTCTCAAGGTTATCCTTCTTTAAGACTGGGTAGTACTCCATTGTATAAAACTACATCTTTTTTTTTTTTTATTCATTCCTCAGTTGATAAGCATTTGGGTTGTTTCCAAAATTTAGCAATTACAAGTTCTGCTGGTATAAACATGGGTGCACATATATCATTGTGCTATGATGTGTTTAATTCTTCTGGAAAGATATCCAAGGGAGAATGGCTGGGCCAAATGGGACTTCTAATCCTAGGTTTTTAAGAAACCTTCACACTGATTTCCACAGTGGTTGCACTGAGCTAAACTCCCACCAACAGTGGAAAAGGGATCCTTCTTTCCCAAAGCCCCTCCAGTATTTGTTATTGGTGGATTTCTTGATGATATCATTCTTTTTGGAGTGAGATGGAATCTCAGTGTTGTTTTAACTCACATCTCTCAAATGATCAATGATGTTGAATATTTTTTTCACATATTTATTTGCCATTTGTATTTCTTCATCTTAAAAGTGTACATTCATCTCAGCTGCCCATTTTTGGATTGGAGCTTTGAAATGGGGGATCTGATTTTTTTCAGCTCCTTATATGTTCTAGATAGAAGTCCTTTGTCTGAGGGACCACTGGTCAAGTTTTTCCCCACTCTATGGGCTGTCTTTTCACCCTGCTGATTTCTTTTGTGGTGCAAAGGCTCTCTAATAAGGTCAGACCCCATTTGCTGATTCCTTGTAGTCTGGGTTTTGTTCATGAGCTCTCTGCCTACATTCGTCTTCAACATTTATGCCCACTTTCTCTTCCAGTAAATTTAGTGTTTCTATCTTAATACTGAGAGCTTTGATTCATTTTGACGTTCATGAAGATTAGAATATTTATGATTAGGTAAAGTTAAGTCTTCAAACAATGAGATAAAGCCAGCTAAGACCCTCATCCCGGAACTCTGGGAGGCTGAGGCAAGAGTATTACAGGTCCAGCCATTTAGTGACTCAGAAGACCTTGTCTCAACACAAAAATTATAAATAATGGATGAGGATATAGCTTAGTGCAAAGGCCCTGAGTTCAATTTCCAGTACTCCAAAGTACTAGAAAATTTAAATTTACTTTGAAGTAAATTTGATGCTTTCATTACATTTGGTTGATCTTTCTGGTGGCCTGAAAACAATGGTGGGGAGGTAGTCTATTATGTTTTGATGAACTGTGGGATTTTTAGAAAAATATTGAGAAGTACAACTCAAAATAACAAATGGGATTCAAAAACACAGAACCTGCAGTTTAGAGTGACTCCCGACAGTGATGGACCCTGGGCGGTAGGCGTTCACCTCACTTTCCTTTTCCTCCTCCTCCTAGAAAACTTCTTTTCTTTCATGGTAGTTTAGGAAGCACGGCCACAAAGGTCCTGAGGCCTGCAGGGCCGGCTGCAGCTGCCGGCGAAGCGCTTGCAGGGCACACAGCGGGCCTGCGCTCCCTCCCAGCACGGCAGAGAAGTACCCAGGCCCACAAGCCCTTGGAAACGTGACTCCTAAAACAAGCGATGAGGTTTTCTTTTTTGCAAGAGCAGAAAACTTTCTCTTTCTGAAATTATCGTGTCAGATAAACCTGAGTACGCGCTGAAATAAAAAGCATTATGTAATCTTTCTGCTTGGCCTCGCCTCCTTTTAAAGGCCTGTAAACGATTAGTAATACTCCGGGGAGAGCTGTAAGGTGAGTCACAGCCCGTGAATCACGCCAGCACGGCAAAAGGTCTGGTGGGGGAAGCTGAATTATAGTCCTTTTCCCACGTGAAAAGATAACCCCTCCCACAGGGGCTACATGAAAAACATGATTTTTCAGTAATGAACTTTAATTTCTTTATTTCGTCCTAGTTTGGTTATTATAAGGATTTGGTCTAGGATGTCAGGCTTCTTGAAGAATTCTATTATTTAGGGTCTTCTTTCATCTGAGATATAATTCATTCATCTCTCTCTCTCTCTCTCTCTCTCTCTCTCTCTCTCGTACTCATTTGATACTATCTCCACAATGATATTATCTCTTAAGAGCTTTAGAGTTTACAAAGCACTGCCATAAATATCACATTTGAGCAGTATTAAGGTTTAACTGGCCCCTGAAAAGCCTCACCTTTGGACGTGAGCGGATCACGTGCGCTGTATTCTTTGCTGGATTCGTCCACAGGTGCGCTCAGCCGCGGGGGGTGCGGTCAGGTATTTTTGCCCCAGCAATGAGCAAAGTCCTAAGACAAGTATCTTAGCAACTTTATAAAGGGAGAAATAATTTTCATTTCTACGGATTGGAAAACTTAGGCCCAAGAGTGGCTGAGTGACTTCCCAGGGTCTAACAAGTCAAGTACACCAAATCCCACATTCACACCAGCCTGCACTGGAACCCAGGGGTGTGGAGAGAGGGATGGAGGAAGGGATGACAGAGAAAAGGAAGGATGGACTGGGAAATGCTAACAGAACAGAATTTCTTTCCAGTCCAAGCGAGGTCAGAGATTAGGGCGGGGCCAGCAGGCAGAGTAGTGGGTGGGACCTGTCAATCATGAGCACTCAGGACGCATGCGCAGAAAAACAGTTCCCAGACCATGCGCCTGGGGCCAATCAGAAAGCGTTGTCTTCAGTTCTCCAGGCAGCGCGAGACCCAGCTGGTCTGACGTCAGCTAAAGGAAGTAGGAACCCAGAAGACGACACCACAGACCTCGAGGCCCCTGTAATCGCTCCCAGGGGCAGCGCCTACTTTGTTCCTCCCTTGGATAAATGTAAAGCCTCGCTGTCTTTTTCACTTGGTGTGTCTTGTCCAGTTGTTTCTTCAGGACAAGAAATTGGAAAGAATCTCTGGAAAAAGCCCACAGCCCCCAGAAGCTGGCAACACAAGGGCACAGAAACTCGGAGACATCACTGCATCGTGGGCAGCAAAGGTGTGCAGCAAACTCCCCAGCAGAGAGGCGCTGTGGGGCTCAGGTCCCCATGGAGGGCACCAGTGCCAGGAGAGCGCTCCTGAGGACACCACGGACGCTGTGTTCTTCCAGGGAGGGGTGCGGCGAGACCTGCGTGTCTCGTCCCCTGAAGGCTCACACTGCCTTCTGCCACCTCACCTGTCTGTGCCGGAAACACGACACAACTCTCTGCTCCCGCCGGCAAATCTTCAGTGCTAAACAAAGTCCCAAGAGGTCAAGTACAGGGAAGGTGCATGTTCTGACTGTGTCCTTCAGCAGGCCCTGGTCTTCAGACTGGACTTGGCCTCAGGGCTGCAGGCTCCAAAAAATGTGTCGCTGAGCCAATGCCTGTGTGCTTACACGGAAGGATCCAGGAAAGCCAGCCGACTGAGTTTGGAGCTTGCTGTGAAGACAGGCTCCCCTTTCTTCCCGCCACCCTCCCTGCTCTCTTGCCCTCTCACCTGTCCTTCCTGAGAGCCCCTGCAGAGGCCTCCCCCCGGAAGCTGCTGTACAGAGCCCTGTGGTGTGGCCAGCGGCCTGGCTTCCTTTAACCTTGGCCTCCCCACACCAGCAGCCCCGCTGTGCCCACTCTTTATTTCCTGGTGATTGAACCCAGGGCCTGCTGCATGCTCAGCCCCAGTACCCACTCCCGAAGCACTCACATCACACCCTTCAACTGCCCAGCTTAATCCCCCGGAACCCCAGTTCCAACCACCTACACCCCCAGAGGCCTACAGTGCTACAGGGCAGAGCACCGCACCTCCTCCTGTCCTACAGTGCCCTTCCTCCCTGTCCCCTCTACCCCACCACCAGAGATCACATCCTCACCTTGACTGCTTCTTCTCTTTGCCTTTCTCTGGCTCTGAGACCCCAGCTCATGAAGCCCTGCCTGGGTAACACTGACTCCCACCCGCTGTGGCCTGCACCTCGTAGTGGCTAGAAATGAACACCTGTTACCTCTAGGGAGGCTCCCAGACTTCCTACTAAGCTCCTCTCCTCCCCCCCCCCGCCCCCCAGCGATGATTCAGGCCTCCTCTTCTCCCCACCTGCAGCCCCTCTCCCTTTCTTATTTTTATTTTAAAGAAATAAAAAACAATGGTACAAAATTTCAAAATAAAACTGTAGGAAAGTAAGAATACTTCCCACCTCCCCAGGAGCATCCGAATGATTAGAAAAGAAGACCCCCACTTGCCACTTCTCACCTCCGGTCCCCTCGGGTCTCCTGCCTGACCCAGGCGGCTGTCCCGAGGGGCGCCTGGTCACCTACTCAGGGACCCGGCTTCAGCAGTCCCCGTCTACCGCACCCTGCACCTTCCTTCTTACTGTCCGTCCACTCGGTCACGTCAGCTTGTGAACACGCCTTCCCTCCCCCTCTAAAAAGGACAGACAGACTGCCCTTCTGCTTCTTCCTCCGACAACCGTTCTGTTTCTTTTTTAAATTTGTTGTCAGAGATATCGGGAGAGGGCGTAGCAAACTGACATTTGCCGAGCATGTAGGAGGCCCTGGGTCCCATCTGCGGCACTGCAAAAAATAATCAGCAGAAATATTGGTTTGATTGTTGGAAAATATATATATTCATTCTCTGAAGTCAGAACGAGGCTTGGTGATCTTGATATCTATAGGAAAGACATTAAATATACAAGGAGTCAGCACTTGGGAGGCTGATGCAGGAGGATCATTGCAAGTTCAAGACCAGCCTGGGCTACAAAGTGGTTCAAGTCCAGCCTGAACTGCAGAAAGAGACCTTGTCTCAGAAAGTCAAAAAAAGGTACAAAGTGTCACATAGGTACGTTAGTGTGGCAAGAAAATAAGATGACAGGAACTAATTATTCAATGCTAGTAGTGATTAGGGTCACTGCTTCAAAGATTTTCTTGGTACAGTGGAGGACACACGGGCGCGCGGGTCTGGAGCACCGAGTGCAATCCCGCGCCTTGCTGGGCTGCTGACCGCGCTCTCCCCGCTGTCGCCTGTCGCTCCCGGCCTGTGCCCTGGGAGCTGTCGCAGACCGAGCGGCGGGGCCAGCACCGCCGCAAGCTGCACCAAGCTCCGTCGCCGCCCTTCACTTTTCCTCTTGGAGCTGAAGATGAACCTCGCGGTGCTCCCGCGTTTTCTCTGAGAGGAAAGGACTCAGGCGCAGCGCGCACACCGCGGAGAGGAAGCCTCCTCGGAACCGCGAGCCCCCGGGCCTGGGGCGCCACCTGGCTGCTGCAGCTTGGATGCCTGGTGACCCGGCCAGCCGGAGACACTGCTCCTCCACTGCGACCACCCCAGGAGGGGCTGGCAGACCTGTCTGGATTTGCCACGGCCAGGTGTGTGGCCTTGCACTCCCCCAAGGGCCCCGGAGGTCACCAGAGACTCCATGGCCACCTCCTCTTGCTTGACCCACGGAGACACACTGGGTATTCGCGCTGCAAGGCACTGCTTCTCCTGGCTCCCAGGACCCCTCCCCGCCCTGGGCCTCCTCCCTCCTGCCCGCGGGCTCTCTGCTTGGTCCTTCTCCTGCCCTGGTTTCCAGGCGCCAGTGTGCTCCGGGTCCACCTCTGGCCCCTTTCTCCTTCACACCTAGGATCAGATCTGGGCGGCCCTCGGCTAGTCCTGTGGCTTGGGATATGAGTGTCCAGTAGCCCTGTGTGCAGATAATGCCCGTGAGGTGATTCCCCAGATGTTATCTTCATCAAGAAGCTTTCGAGATGGGCCCAGTAGCACATATCTGTAATGCTAGCATTCAGGAGGCTGAGGCAGAAGGGCGTAAACTCAAGGCCAGCCTGGGTTACATGGAGAAAAAGGAACCTTTGCCCTGGGCTCCACACCCACACACCTCGCTGGACAATTCGGGCCCGCTGAAGGTCCGATGCCAGCGCTGTGCGTCCTCCCATCTCCGCTGAGGACAGCAGTGGCCTCCCGCTGCTCAGACCAAAGAGCCACTGCCTCCCGACCCCTTCTCACAGGCCGGGCCTTCCGAGTACCCCAAACCCTACTGCCTTTTACTATGTGAGTCCTGGTTGAGACACAACGTGCACAGCACACACTGATAGTCAGAGTGCTTATTTCCATCTCCTTATCGCTTTGTCTTTAGAGACTTCAAGACCCTCTACTGCTTGGTAAAGTACGTAATAATAATCACAAGGCCCCGGCTGGAGTCCAGCACTGCCTGTGTAAGGATGCAAGTGTGTAAATGCTGCGACACTTATTCTATGTAACACACTATCACTTGTGTCACATGTCACTGCGGACTGTGCTCATGCCGCTTGCTGTGGGGCCTGGAACTTGCTCCTTCTGCGTTCTGCTGCCCAGGCTCCACCCTCCTTGCCCTCTCGCCCAGCCCTCACCAGTGACCACTGTCCTCCCTGTGCGCTGAGTTATTTGTTGTTGTTTGTTTGTTTGTTTGTTTTGAGACAGGGTCTCACCCTGAAGCCCTGGCTGGCTTTGAACTCATAGCAACCTTCCTGCCTCAGCCTCCCACGTGCTGGGATTACAGGTTCCACCGCCATGCCCACACATAGGAAAGAGGATGTGTAGTGGTTGTCTTTTTGTATCTGGCGTATTTTGTGTAACACAAATTCTCCAGTTCTACTCACTCTGCTACAATGACAGGATTCGGTCCTTTTTATGGGTGAATAGTATACCATTGTGTAAACGTACCCCATCTTCCTTACCCGCTCATCTGTCTATGGACATCTCCGTTGATTCCACATGCTGGCTGTTGTGAGGAGCACAGCTGTCCCCAGGGGTGTGCAACTATCTCTCTGGTGTGTGCTGTCATTTCCTTTGGCTGTATATCCAGGACTGGGATAACTGGATCCTATACTAATTCTATTTTTTAATCTGTTGAGAAACCTCTATGCTATTTTCCAGAATGGCTGTGCAAATTTATATTCCCACCAACAATGCATAAGAACTCCCTATTTTCCACACTCGTACTAGCATTTGTTATTTTATTTTATTTTATTCTAATTTTTTAAGCAGCAGCAAAATGTTGCCATTGAGGCTGTGTGTGCTCACAGGCATCCTGAGATCACCCAAGTTTGGCTCCCAAATGTCTCCCCAAAGCCAGTGTGTCAAAGGCTGGGCCCCAGCACCCTAAGATGGTGAGGACTAGTGGGGTCTCGGTGACTTGTCCTTGAAGGTGAGCAGGGGACGCCAGCCCCTGCCTCTTCCTCTTCCCCTTTCCTTGCTGGCAGTGTGTGAGAGACTCTGCCAGAGGCAATGCCATGAAAGCAACAAAGCCCACAGTCAATCCAAAATGGTGACCCCAAACGTTACCATGGGCAGTGGGGTCTGGGATGGGTTCCTGGGTTCTTGTGCCCGTGGACCAACGAGTCAGACCTAGCCCACACCTGTAAGGAAGCAGCAGCAATTTCCTAAGGTGGCAGCCCACGGGAGTAGGCAGGCTTGGGGCGGCAAAAGGAAAATGGCACAAGAGCCAAGGGCACAGGGTGACACCCTGTGGTGTCCAGCAGCAGCTCTAGATGTTCCCGGGGGAAGGACGGGGAGAAGACGGAGAAACACAGGGAAGAGACAGGCAGCTGAGTCAGGCGGAGCCCTCTCTCCTGCTGAGAGGACCGGAGCTGCTCGGCCACTGCAGCACATGTCTCTATACCCCCGGGAGGATGATGACAATTTTAGCCCCTCGTTTTGCAGCTGCATAGGGCTCTCCTGAGCACAGCCTGCTCTGGGAGCTGGAATGGCTCATTTACTCGGCTCTTCTGGGGCTCTCCTGTTCACAGGGCTGCCCTTGCTTTAGGCCTGTATGTGCCATCTATCTCCAGCTTCAGCCAGTCCCTAGAGCACCCGGGTTCTAGGGTACCTCCCATGGAGGGGGCTCTTGCAGATCACAGCTGACAGCATGATTGACAGGGTGCTAAGTCACATCAGTTTCATCCATTGCACAAGTCCTTTCCCATAATTCACTCTGTCATGGTTGTACCTAAGAGATGT